CGGGGGATTTTGGGGGCCTCTAGATACTCCCATGTAACACCTCTCCTGCGCGAGCTGCACTGGCTGCTGGTGGCCTTCCGGGTGCGCTTCAAGGTGTTAGTAACAACTTTTAAAGCGCTCCATGGCAATGGACCTAGGTATTTGCAAGACCGCCTCCTACCAAATATCTCCCTTCGACCAGTCCGCTCCCACAGAGAGGGCCTCCTTAGGGTGCCGTCCGCCAGTCAATGCCAGCTGGCGACCCCCAGGGGGAGAGCCTTCTCTGTGGCAGCTCCTGCCCTCTGGAATGACCTACCCCCCGACCTACGTACAACTACGGACCTGCGCCTCTTCCGCCGAGCCTTGAAAACCCATCTATTCCACGCGGCCGGCCTGGCGTAGTTTTGATTGGGCTTTGCTAGGGGTTTTATATGGGGTATTTTAGAGCAGGCTTTTTATTCAATATTTATTGTGATTTTTACTATTGCCTGTTCACCGCCCTGAGTCCCGTAAGGGAGATAGGGCGGTATATAAATTTAAATAATAAATAAATAAATAAATTTTAACCAAGCAGAAATTATTGCACCTGAAATAAGGTTTTCCAGCAGTAGTTCAACATAAAACAAGGATCTATGTTTTGCATGTGATCCCAAAGAACTACAGTATAACTGTAGAGTACCAGTTTTAGAGATTATGTATGTGCAGAACTAGCTAGAATGAATTGCTCCCATATATCCCAAAATTAATGCTACATTTTGTTTCTTAAAATGTGTAAAAGCTCTGGGGTGTCACAGAATAACTTTACATTATTTTGAATCTATTGTTTAGCACTTAGAACATGAAAAAATTTGCAGGAGTGCCCATTTTGTGAATATTTTGCTAACCCTGCATTTTCAGTAGTTTTCTATGTGTTCGTTTTAATTGTTCTCTGCTATAGTGAATACTAGAAACATGTTCTTAAAATTATAAAGACTCCATAAAATACTGTTTTTAATTATGCTTTATTAAATTTCTATAAAGAATTATACGTAGACACACAGACACAATTGGAAATAAAATAGGGAGGAGCAAATTACAAGGGATAAAGGAAAAAGGAGGAGAAAGAAAATAAAAACAGAATAACCTCTGACTTTCTTCAATACAGTTACAAATATAAAATACATTAATCTTTTGATCTTAAATTCAATAATGCACAGTATTTCCATAAACAATTCTAGTTGTCAAATCCCCAAATTATTTTTTTATAAGAATTTTATTAGTTTTTCTCTTACACACATATGTTAATTTTTCAACCAGCGTGCTGTCTGGATTCAAAAACGCTAATACATAATCAATTCCTAATCCTTGGTTCTTTCCTCTAACCATTTGTAAAATAGCTCCCAGATTTGGTAGTATTCTATTTCTTCTTTATATTTCAATCTCATAGTTAATCTGTCCATCTCTGCGCATTCCAATATTTTTTTAATTACTTCTTCCTCTGGTGGTACTACTTCATTTTTCCAATATTGCACGAAGACTATTCTTGCTGCTGTTATGACGTGGAAAGCCAAATATAAACTTTGTTTATTAGTCTTTTCTGGCATTATACTTAGTTAAAAAAAGGTTCAGGTTTAAATTCCCCATGTTTTCCCAACATTTTTTCTAACCAAACATGTATCTTTTTCCAATAAGCCTTTGCTTTACCACATGTCCACCAAATATGATAATACGTCCCTAAATTATGTTTACATTTCCAACATCTATCTGACATATTTTTAAACATTTTTGCTAATCTTGCTGGTGGCAAGTGCCATCTATAAAACATTTTATATAAATTTTCTTTATACGAGGTTGACATTGTCAATTTATAGTTTCTCTCCCATAATTTTTGCCATTTTTCTAGTTCTATGTTATAACCAAAGTTTTCTGCCCACCTTGTCATTGTTTCTTTAACTTGTTCACTTTCCATCTCCAAAATTAACAAAAAATTATACATTTTCTTAATTAATTTCTCATCAGAAATTAACAATATCTTATCAACTACAGTTTGTTCTTTATAAAACCCATGCATTTTCACGTCTTTTTCATATCTATTTTGCATCTATAGATGTGCCCACCACGACAGGTTGATTTTCCTGATTTTCCAGATTTTTCAATTCTTGTCTCGATCTTAAAGTCCCATCAGTATTTAGAATATCTCTATATGTCCAAATTTTTTCAAAGTCTACCAAGTTTGGATGTAAAAAACCTTCCATCGTTGATAAAATCCCAAAATTAATATAGCATTTCTTTCACTCTCAAGCAAAAAGTCCAAAAGTTGTTTCCGTGTAGAAACAAACTAGACAAAGTCTTTTCTTTAATCAAAGTAGTTAGTTTTGTCATCATCCAATTCCATTAATTTCACCATCCATAATATACTGTTAAAGCCAACAATTCCAGTCAGCAGTTATTTTTGGATCAGATCCATGGTTCCTTTGACGTTTCCTAAAATATTTCTTGTACTTTCATATATTTTTCCATATATTGTCCTTTCAAATACCATTCCTTTTGACTTTATAGGCTAAATATGGGCAGAAGGAGAACATTGTGGGTTGGGGAATATTGCTTAATCCATCTTAGTTTGATTTTTTTTCAGTCATTCCTCTTCTCATACCAACTTACAAGGGGAAATAATTTGGGGTAATAGCAAAAAAAAAGAAAGATGTATATACAATATAGGAGGATTTATGTTTACCAGAAGGGATTTTTTTAAAAATTACATTTTCTTTCCACTGATGCTTTTTACAAATATTTCTTGATCTCCATATTGATGATCTCAGGAACAGTTAAAGTGATAACTTTACTGGCATTAATATACAAAATGTTCCCCTAGTCCTGTGCCTAATCAGACTTCTGCCCAGAGGAATTAAATCAGCATAGCTGTATAACCCCAGGTTGGGGAAAGCTATTACAGGTCATGAACATAGGCAACCAATTCCATGCATCTGCAGTTCATTTATTTTCTTTGACTTTTTAGGTCTGTAAAAGAACTCTGGAAAGACCACACGGAAATTGAGGTAAATTTTCTTTTAGAATTTGTCAAAACTGCATAAAAATCTTGTATGTGTAAATATTTTCTGAGGCATTAGAGAAAATAGCATGGTCTTTTTCAACTTCAGACCACAGATTTAAAGCAACCATTAAAAAAGTATTACATACTAGGAAAACCCAGTAAGTCTTGAGATCATTCTTCTATAGTCTGATGCCTCCCAGTTATGTTAGACTTCTCTACCTCCCTTTCTCTTTAGCCATTGGCCATTTTTGAATAGGGGTGTTGGAAACTAAAATCCAATATATTTGGAGGATGCTAAATCAGTAAAGATGGCCTTGTTGCGAATGCTGCCTTTATGGATATTTCAAAATGAAGAACAGACATTTCCAGATTGGGAAACTATTCTTTCCTTTAAATAATTGTTTTAAGTTGGATATCAGATGCTTGTGAGCAAAGATTTGTGGTGTCTGCAGAATATCTTTTGCAGGGGAAGAGCAGAAGCTGAAATAGAGGATGAGATTATAACTTGCGCATTTCTCGTGTCTTACTATACAGCTACATAGATAGACCTGTTTATTTTTCTTGTACTCATGTTGTTGCTCAATGAAATTTTCTGTGTGACAGATAGTCCTCACTTTACAACCACTACTGGGACCAGAAACTCCATGACTTAAGTGGCATAGTCATTAACCGAAAGATCACATGGATGAGCTGGACTTTCATCATCCCCACTGTGGTTGATAAGTGAATCACCCCAAGTGGTTAACTAAGACATCAAATGGCCGTGACTTATAATTTCAGTGCTGGCTTCCCCATTGACTCTGCTTGTTGGAAGCCAACTCTGAAGGGCACAAATGACAATTGTGTGACCACAGGACACTGTGACTGTCACAAATGCCTGCCAGTTTTCCAATTGCAGAACAACTGAAGTTTGATCACGTGGCTTTTGAGATTCTACAACAGCTATAAGTATAAGTTTGTACTTATACGTTGCAATTGTGAATAGTTGCTAAACAGAGCAGTCATTAAACAATTACTATCTGCGCAGTTTAGCATTCTCAAGAATGTATTGGATAAATACTTATTTGGTAACACCATGTGTTTCCTAGTTGAACAATAAATCAGGAAAATATTTTTTGTTCTAGAAAAAGAGCATAAAATGCTATTGTATTGCAAGTCAGGCCATGGGATAATCTGGTAGCCTCATCTCTCTCAGGTTATCACACTGAGGCCATTCCCTGCCTTATTAAATTTAGCATTTCTTGTAAGGGAATCCACTGTTGAGTTGGTAATATTGGGGGGAGGGGATTTTCTATCCAGCGCCACAGTGCAGTTTGTCTTTTACTGTGGAGATGGGGAGAAAAAGACCAAATTTTGGACTCAGTATTTTCAGAAGGGAAGCCTGGGATCAGGTAGATTTTTGCTTTAAGATTTTGTTAATTTTGCCTCAGTTAACAGTTCAAATCTAAGGAAGCTATTTTACATTTTAAAACAGTCTGATTTAAGGGTTGAAAGAAAGAAAATACATTTACACTTAATTCCCAGGAGACTGGATACATGGTGTTCATTCATAAAGTCGTTGCTCAAAGAATAGCAACTCAAAACCTTTGCTGTGCTATCTGTCCTCTTGTACTTATCAGATGCTGCTGTATTTCTGGATGCCAGGTTTTATTCATTGAAGAATAAAGGTAGCCGTGATATGTAAATCCCTCTCTTATCATTAGGAATACTGCAGAAAATTCACTGAAGAATGGAAACAACTGGAACTGGATGTACTGCTTTGTCCTACTATGGGTCCTGCTTTTAAGAGTGGGTCTTCTGGAAGTCTACCAGGTACTTAAAAAAAAAAAACTTGGAAAACTGAGTTTTAAAAAGCACATTGTTATCCTTTAGATCCCATGGTGAGTCCTATTCTTTTTTAACCACATGTGAGTAAATCCTAGGGCTCTGATGTGCTTTGATGTTGGACAAAAAATTCATGGGGTGATGCAAAGGGGGTACAACTATGATGCTTATTTGCAACTCTTTGAACCGAATGCACCTTTTCTATGGCTGTACTGTGCCTAGGAAAAGGGGTGGCTGCTTTAAGGAGCTTGCAGTTTTGAATCTGAAGCATTTCACAACCCTAATATATTCCTGTTATGGATCTTGCTACATTCCATCGTGGCTTATACAGTGAGGGGAAAAAGTATTTGCTGATTTTGTACATTTGTCCATTGACAAAGAAATGATCAGTCTATAATTTTAATGGTAGGTTTCTTTTAGCAATGAGAGACAGAATAACAACGACAAAAATCTAGAAAAATGCATTTCAAAAAAGTTATAAATTGATTTGCATTTTAATGAGTGAAAGAAGTATTTGACCCCTTTGTAAAACATGTCTTAGTACTTGGTGGCAAAACTCTTGTTGGCAATTACAGAGGTCAGATGTTTCTTGTAGTTGGCCACCAGGTTTGCACACATCTCAGGAGGGATTTTGTCCCACTCCTTCTTGCAGATCCTCTCCAAGTCATTAAGGTTTCGAGGCTGACGTTTGGCAGCTCGAATCTTCAGCTCCTTCCCTCCACAGGTTTTCTATGGGATTAAGGTCTGGAGACTGGCTAGGCCACCCCAGGACCTTAATGTGCTTCTTCTTGAGTCATTCCTTTGTTGCCTTGGCCTTGTGTCTTGGGTCATTCGATCAGCCTTCACAAACTAATAACCGTTCATTCTTCTGAGAATACATAACTACAATTTTTGTGACAGTGCAGACAGTATTTCTAAAATTCTTCTTAAATAGATTGTAGACTTTGGGAATCTAATTTAACAATACAGTTTCTAAGGTAGTCAGATGATCATCAGCATCCAATTAACCAGTGGAACAACCTGCCTCCAGAAGCGGTGAATGCTCCAACACTGGAAGTTTTTAAGAAGAGATTGGACAGCCATTTATCTGAAATGGTATAGGGTTTCCTGCCTTAGCAGGGGTTGGACTAGATGACCTCCAAGGTCCCTTCCAACTTTATTATTATTATTATTATTATTATTATTATTATTATTATTATTATTATTATTATTATTATTATTATTATTATTATTATTATTATTATTATTATTATTATTTAGCCTCTAGAATAAAATTGTTTTGAGTGTCCTTTTAAAGAGCAGAAAGTTACAGACAGCACATAACACTGTAAACATGAAACCTTCTGTGTCTGAACATTTTTAGTTGCTTGAGATTGGCTTCAGTTTTTTCAAATACGGTAATTTTCTCATCTGTAGAGTGGGGAAGAGATATGTGTGATCAGAGTTACGAAGTACTGTCTTCGTTGTACTGTTAATCATTGCAAGTTGCTCAAGAGAGCTGGGTAGCCATTTAATGTGCCCTGTGTTTTTTGTCTGTACAGAGGTCATTAGTAATTACATATTATATAACTTCTTGGACTTCCCTGCTGGGGTGGTACCAGTTACAACAGTGACAAAGGAGGACGAAGAGGAGCTAAAGAATTTCAAAGGACACTACAATGATTTGGGGGACAAACTCTTTGCAAAGGTACTTGGAATTGCCTCATGACAGTGCCTAGCAGCATTTATAGGTAATCCTCAAGATTCGACCACAGGGTAGCCTGTCCATTATGGTCACATGTCATGATGGCCATGAAGCGAGATGGCCTCACTTAACAACTGCCTCCCCCTGTTCTCTCTGATGCGGTTGTTAAACAAAAAGGCAGGTTGTTAAGTGGAGCACGGTGTGCTTTAGGTATGGAGGACTGTCTGTCAGGGCCCACTTCAAAACCTCATCCTAAGAAAGCAGAACTCATGGAAGCAGTTTCTTCCAAAAGGAACTTTTATTAGGAGAAGCTGATAGCAGGCATGATAGGCAGGATCTGAGGGTTTTTCTGCTCAGATCCATAGGTTAAAAGCAAACCTCAGCCCAATAGTTCCTCCGGTCAGTTTGAATGGGCCAATCCTCAGGTGTTAAGTCTGTTGTGGGAAAAGAGCTGATAACACCGGTCTTTCCCAGGCTCACAGCAATGTTGTTGGGTCTTCACACCTTCCCTTCCAAAAACGGGAAATAAGCCAGATGGTCGGAGGAATATTCCTTTCTCACCCCAAGGTAACCTCAAGGGAGAGACAGTTCAAAGAGCAAATATGCAGAAACAGCAGAAGGGATACATTGTAGCAATAGAAAAAACAAAGAGACAGCCCGCAGTGTCTTCCCCCCTCCCCTTCAGGAGTATGGCAGAACCCAGAGCAATGAAGTAAAAAAGAAATAGAAAAGAGTCCCCATTAATACTGTATGGGTTCTGACACTGCTCTGGGTCTCCCAAGGTCTTCTCCAACCCTGAAACACCCACATTTTGTGTCACCACAAGGAACTGTGGGAAAGCTGAAAATGGCAATACCTTCTGAAGGACAGCCATATGGCCGGAAACACGTGGCCTGTCCTTTTCCCCCCAACATGAGGCTCAGAGAACTATAAAAGATAAGGATGTGATGGATGACAGGCGTGTGGGGAGTAGTCCAAGGCCTGCAGGGTCCCAGTGGAGCAGGATGGGGGAGAGAGAGAAATGGGGGGATGCTGTAGAGTCCCTGCAGTCAGTCGTAAGAGCTAATGACTGTAGGGGTGCTGCAGCAGCCGTAAGTTCGAAAGCGGGTTGTAAGTAGCTTACAGGAGGTGTGTTGTAACTTCAACGGTCATTAAGTGATCGTCCTTATCTCGAGGACTATCTGTATTTGACGCTTGCTGTAAAAAAACTGCTTTCTTTATGCTGTCCTTGCAGGCAGTGAAAGAATCTGTGGGGCTCCCTGTGGCTGTCCAGTGTGTGGCTCTGCCCTGGCAAGAAGAGCTCTGTCTCCGGCTCATGAAAGAAGTGGAGAAGCTAACCGGGGAAAAATCAAGGAAACAATNAACAATAATTATAGGGTTAAGCTTCACACACTTTTCATTAAAATGTTCAGTGCCATTCTAACACAATAGATATAAAAATGTACCAGGTCTGAAATAATGAAGTTGAAGTTTTTGACGTGCTTTTGGAATCAGAGTGTCTGTGGATGGAACAGATAGGAAACATTTGAGGAATTGATTTTCTCTGGCAATTATGTACATGGATGAACAGAAAAATCGGATATCTGATTGTATACTTGGGTATGATATTATTCTAGTCCAAATGTATTAATAAAAATAAACATTTCCTAATCTTCCCTGAGCAGAGGTGAGAGTATGTTTCTCAGTTGTTCAGCAATTTAGCAATATATTAATTTTCAAGTGGTTTTAAGTTTGAAAATGAATAACTCTTGGCATCGATTAAGACAGGCTGAAGTCCACACATTCTTTTTCTTGGACCAGTTTTTTAGGTTCCTAAAGCTCACTACAATTCAGCTAAATGTATTTGCTCAGTTTGCTGCTAATACAACATTCTTTTCTGGAATTACAACTTTTTGTGAAACAATGGCATGGCTCTATAGAACAATGACTTTTCCTCCCAGTTTTACATATCTGCAGCAAGCCTACCGTCCCTTCTTCAGTTCCTATCTGATCATGTTTCTGCCCAATTTTCAGTTTTCCTCCATTCAATACACTGGAGGCCTATAAAAGCAAATTGCAATATGAATAAATAATCCCTATTTATTAGATTATATATCCTTTCTTTCTCCTGAAACACAAAACAGTATATATAGCATTTCAATTGTTATAACAACTCTTTTGAGGTAGATTGAGTTGAGAAGTAGTGATTGACCCAAAGTCACCCAGTGAATTTCCAAGTTGTGCAGTTGAATCCAGTCTTTGTGATCCGTTTGAACATCCAAATCCACACTAAATGTATCATTTCCAAGCCAAGTCATCCAAATAATATGTATACCTCCCTCACTCCCTTCCTTTCATGCAGGCCTTGACATTTCCCCATGATGCCAGACATTATCATTGGACAAACAATGTTAAAATGGATGGTACTTGTACCAATAATAGATCCCAAAAGAATTTGTAGAACTACTGGAAAAAGACACATTTTGTCACTGGTCTTTCTCAACTGATAGTGTGCCATTGCTTAATACACTATGAAGTCTGTATCTGAATTTCCAACTTCTCAGGAGCGCTAGATATAATACTATATCACAGTTATTCTAAGGGGTTGCCATAAAGAAGGGAGTCAACCTATTCTCCAAAGTATCTGAAAGCAGGATAAGAAACAATGGATGGAAATTAATCAAGAAGACAAGGAACCTAGAAAGAACTAAGGAGAAATTTTCTGACAGAACAATTAATCAGTGGAATGACTTGCCTCCAGAAGTTGCGGATACTCTAACCGTGGAAGTTTTTAAGAAGAGATTGGACAACCATTTGTCTGAAATGGTATAGAGTTTCCTCCCAAGCAGGGTGTTGGACTAGAAAACCTCCAAGGTCACTTCCAACTCTGTTATTCTGTTATAAAGCAGTTATAGAAAATAAGCACGATATCATTAGCAATTTAGCACCTTACTAGAAGAACTGGACATGGCATGTAAATATTTGATACACTCCTTTGAAGCAAACTGGTTAAGTCAGAAACTTCAGAATTTTTATTATCTTAATGCTGAAATATAGACTTGAACAGGGAACAAGGGCAAACTAGTGACTGAGCTAAACAATCCTGAGTGGATTTTTTAACTGGTGTTCATGGCTGGCATCACCCTCTGAAATTACTTTTAAGGCCCCAAAATAGCATCTTAGCAACCTGCATTTACATTATTTGCCTGACTAGAGGTTCACTATCTCTGTCAAGGGCAACAAAACTATTATCACCTTGAATCACTGCCCAATGGTTCCTGAGGGTATAGCCAACCAATCTACAAACATGCAGGAGAATTTTGTAGAATGTTTTAGATACCTAAAATCTAAGGTTGACTCAGCAATTGTTACCAAATGCAAACCGAGGAACCCAAGATAAGGCTGAGCTGAAAAAGAAGTAAATTCAAACGAATCTGTTTGTGACATCTTCACATGGCACATGGGAGAAGATTAATTTGCAATTGCGAGAACGCAAGCTGTAAGAATTCTTTCACTTTGGCACAGGCCACCCCTGTCAGTAATTCTTCTCAACACGAACAACTGTTAGGAATCTCATGTTAAGCTTTTAAGCAATGACGAAATGGAAAGTCAGATAATGGGACAATGTCTGCGCCCTAGACATTGTTAAAAATCACAAAAGAGAGCTGTGCCTAGCCTATATAGCAGGGGTCTTCAAACTTGGCTCTTTTATGATTTGTGGACTTCAACTCCCAGAATTCCTCAGCCATTGTGTCTGGCTGAGGAATTCTGGGAGTTGAAGTCCACAAGTCATAAAAGGGCCAAGTTTGAAGACCCCTACTATATAGAATTTAAAATGTACACACTGTTGCTATATATTTAAATGTAATTTCTGATACAGACTGATGGTCCTCAACATTTGCCCATTCATTTAATGATCATTTAAAATTATAATGACAGTGAAAAAAAGTGATTACAACTGGTTTTGCACTTAACAATTGTTGCAGCATCACCACAGTAAAGTGATCAAAATTCAGGTGCTTGGAAATCAGTGTGTATTTACAATGGTCACAGTGTCCCAGGATCAACCGATCACCATTTATGACCTCCTCGGTGGGTTTCTGACAAGCAAATTCAATAAGGAAAGCCATATTTGTTTAACGATCGTGTGCTTTGTTTAACGACCATAGCAAAAAGGTGGTAATGTTAGACACAATTCACTTAACAGCCACATGATTTAGCGACAGAAGTTCCAATCTTGTGGTTGTAAGTCAAGGACTACCTGTATAAGAACTTTCTTCTTATATAAACATTGAAATCCTATCGTTCTTAGGTGATTTTGTGCTAGTCTTTGACTGTAATAAAGCTTTGATTTGATTTCTGAATGGTGATTTGACACTTTGCATTTTCAAACTATAGATACTATCTCATATATTGGATAACCTTTTTGTATGGAGTTTACAAAAGAAGCTTGTTGAAGCTATGAAGAATCTTACGAGAAAGAACAAAAAAGAAACTAAGAAAAATCAGATTCTGTGGCATTTGGATTGTTTTAAATTTAAGACTGTTAGAACTAAAAGGAAGGGATATAAAGTTGGTTTATTTGATCAAGGTTAAAATATGCTATTATTTCTGGTAAGCCTTAATGGACTTTTTGTTGACACTGGGACTGAAAAGATGAAGCTTTATGGATTTATCTATAAAGAAGGAATTGTGTATAGGATGATGAGATCATTGGTTGTAAACTAAGATGGGATGAAAAGCTACACAAATTATTTGTTCTTGTTATGAAGGTTGAAAGTCATTTGTTTATACATTTTCTTTCAATATTTTCTTTTCTATTTTTTGTTTTTTCTTCCCTTTAGCACTTTCCATTCTTCCATTCTTTCTTTTAGTTTGTATCAGATTTTAGTATTGTAATTAAAATCCTCAAGTATGTGTGTGTCTGTGTCTGTGTGTGTGTGACAGAGAGAATAAGTCTCCAGACCAAATACAAGCTCAGTAAAGTTGTTTCATAAATGAAATTAGTAAAGACCATTTTGAATTAAAGGGGAAGGGATGAAAACAGCCCCAGAGGTCTCTTTGAAGTCTTGACAACAATGATTAAAATCTAAATTGTTACACTGTAGTCCCAAATCCGTATAATGTGGTGAGTAAAAAATAGTAAAGAAAGGGCTAAAATGGCTATTTCTTCATATAGCTAGTCATACCTCCTTTTCATGAAACAAGGGTGTGAGTATGTAACAACCTCTTTGATTAATCTCAGTTTGATTAGTGACTATCTATTCTATATGAACCTTTGAAATGCTAAGGCACCACCAGTCTTTGGGCTGTCTAGTAAAGGTACATTTTGGATTTTCTATTGGCAACCACCAAGCTTAGCATAATCCCAAGTAACTGATTACCCCAGCTCACAACTCCCAGAACAGAAATGGGAGAGTGGATTCACACTACATATATGTGCCAGACTTACATACAAATCGTAACTATGCGAATTGCAGCTGCCACTAAGTTATCTACTAAAACAAGAAAAAAGGCTATTGCTATAGCTGCTGAGTTTGGGAGCCCAATAGGCTGTTCTGAAATATCAGTTGAAGCCTTAATTAAGATTATCTAATACTTTAGATAAATCATCCTTTAAATACACCTTGGGATGAGTCCAAGGTACAACTAGGAGGTCTCAGTAACTTGAGATGGCTTAATAGCCAATGCTTTAACAATACAACCTCCTATTGGTATCAAGGAGACTCTACTACAAAGACACAGAGAAAGATTCACCATGATGCAGGAGAAGCTACAGGATATTCTGCTCAAAGATGGAATCAACCCACCTATTCTCCTTGCTGTTGCCTGTGGCTCAGTCACAGTGGTTGTGCTATGGAAATGGGTGATACGTAGAGAGATTCAGAGGAAAATGAAAGAAGCCCGACAATGGCGAAATGGCAGTCTAGAACAAATGGAAAAAGTTGCTTGGAAGCTTAAACAGAAGGTGGCTTCTTCTTGGGACGGGGAGGATGGTGGTGTTTGTGTGTTACGGAGGGCTCTTCTGAATGTAAACTTTGCTGCTTTCAGTAAGACTTTTGAACTGTTCTCAAGTCTGAATGATGAAACTTAGGTCAGCTTTGCTAATTTATGGACTTTCTTGTTTTACAAAGTGTGGGTCAATATCTATGATAGGTTGCATCTTTTCTTAAATTTTGACATGACATACTTTCTGTCCTTTTTTGGGAAGTGAGGATCAATGAAGCCTTATGTACAGCTTGAATATGAGATGTGGTTTTTTTTGTTGAAAAAATACTATCTATTACTTTCTCTCTGGGCAAACCCTGATGTATTTATTGTGCACTTCTCTTCATGTGCTTTAAAGTAGCAAGAATGTAGCTTGGAAGCTACTTTTAATTTTAATTTTTGCATTGGTAATAATTACAAAGTACAGTAATTATAGGTGAATTTCTTTCTGTCTCT